GTGACTGCCTACCGTGTGTGTGTGTGGCTGTAGTAGTGTGACTGTGTACCGTGTGTGTGTGTGACTGTAGTAGTGTGACTGTGTACCGTGTGTGTGACTGTAGTAGTGTGACTGTGTACCGTGTGTGTGTGTGACTGTAGTAGTGTGACTGCCTACCGTGTGTGTGTGTGACTGTAGTAGTGTGACTGCGTACCGTGTGTGTGACTGTAGTAGTGTGACTGTGTACCGTGTGTGTGTGTGGCTGTAGTAGTGTGACTGCCTACCGTGTGTGTGACTGTAGTAGTGTGACTGTGTACCGTGTGTGTGTGTGGCTGTAGTAGTGTGACTGTGTACCGTGTGTGTGACTGTAGTAGTGTGACTGTGTACCGTGTGTGTGTGTGGCTGTAGTAGTGTGACTGCCTTCCGTGTGTGTGTGTGGCTGTAGTAGTGTGACTGTGTACCGTGTGTGTGTGTGGCTGTAGTAGTGTGACTGCCTACCGTGTGTGTGTGTGACTGTAGTAGTGTGACTGTGTACCGTGTGTGTGTGTGACTGTAGTAGTGTGACTGCCTACCGTGTGTGTGTGTGACTGTAGTAGTGTGACTGCCTACCGTGTGTGTGTGTGACTGTAGTAGTGTGACTGCCTACCGTGTGTGTGTGTGACTGTAGTAGTGTGACTGTGTACCGTGTGTGTGACTGTAGTAGTGTGACTGTGTACCGTGTGTGTGTGTGACTGTAGTAGTGTGACTGCCTACCGTGTGTGTGTGTGACTGTAGTAGTGTGACTGTGTACCGTGTGTGTGACTGTAGTAGTGTGACTGCCTACCGTGTGTGTGTGTGACTGTAGTAGTGTGACTGCCTACCGTGTGTGTGTGTGAGTGTAGTAGTGTGACTGTGTACCGTGTGTGTGACTGTAGTAGTGTGACTGTGTACCGTGTGTGTGACTGTAGTAGTGTGACTGCCTACCGTGTGTGTGTGTGACTGTAGTAGTGTGACTGCCTACCGTGTGTGTGTGTGTGTGACTGTAGTAGTGTGACTGCCTACCGTGTGTGTGTGTGACTGTAGTAGTGTGACTGCCTACCGTGTGTGTGACTGTAGTAGTGTGACTGCCTACCGTGTGTGTGTGTGGCTGTAGTAGTGTGACTGTGTACCGTGTGTGTGACTGTAGTAGTGTGACTGTGTACCGTGTGTGTGTGTGACTGTAGTAGTGTGACTGCCTACTGTGTGTGTGTGTGTGTGACTGTAGTAGTGTGACTGCCTACCGTGTGTGTGTGTGAGTGTAGTAGTGTGACTGCCTACCGTGTGTGTGGCTGTAGCAGTGTGACTGCCTACCGTGTGTGTGTGTGGCTGCAGTAGTGTGACTGCCTACCGTGTGTGTGTGTGGCTGTAGTAGTGTGACTGCCTACCGTGTGTGTGTGTGGCTGTAGCAGTGTGACTGTGTACCGTGTGTGTGTGTGGCTGTAGTAGTGTGACTGCCTACCGTGTGTGTGTGTGGCTGTAGTAGTGTGACTGTGTACCGTGTGTGTGTGTGACTGTAGTAGTGTGACTGCCTACTGTGTGTGTGTGTGACTGTAGTAGTGTGACTGCCTACCGTGTGTGTGTGTGTGACTGTAGTAGTGTGAATGCCTACCGTGTGTGTGTGTGACTGTAGTAGTGTGACTGCCTACCGTGTGTGTGACTGTAGTAGTGTGACTGCCTACCGTGTGTGTGTGTGTGACTGTAGTAGTGTGACTGTGTACCGTGTGTGTGACTGTAGTAGTGTGACTGTGTACTGTGTGTGTGTGTGGCTGTAGTAGTGTGACTGCCTACCGTGTGTGTGTGTGACTGTAGTAGTGTGACTGCCTACCGTGTGTGTGTGGCTGTAGTAGTGTGACTGCCTACCGTGTGTGTGTGTGACTGTAGTAGTGTGACTGCCTACCGTGTGTGTGTGTGGCTGTAGTAGTGTGACTGTGTACCGTGTGTGTGACTGTAGTAGTGTGACTGTATACCGTGTGTGTGTGTGACTGTAGTAGTGTGACTGTGTACCGTGTGTGTGTGTGGCTGTAGTAGTGTGACTGTGTACCGTGTGTGTGACTGTAGTAGTGTGACTGTATACCGTGTGTGTGTGTGACTGTAGTAGTGTGACTGCCTACCGTGTGTGTGTGTGTGTGTGACTGTAGTAGTGTGACTGCCTACCGTGTGTGTGTGTGGCTGTAGTAGTGTGACTGTGTACCGTGTGTGTGACTGTAGTAGTGTGACTGTATACCGTGTGTGTGTGTGACTGTAGTAGTGTGACTGTGTACCGTGTGTGTGTGTGTGGCTGTAGTAGTGTGACTGCCTACCGTGTGTGTGTGTGGCTGTAGTAGTGTGACTGTGTACCGTGTGTGTGTGTGACTGTAGTAGTGTGACTGTGTACCGTGTGTGTGTGTGGCTGTAGTAGTGTGACTGCCTACCGTGTGTGTGTGTGGCTGTAGTAGTGTGACTGCGTACCGTGTGTGTGTGTGACTGTAGTAGTGTGACTGTGTACCGTGTGTGTGTGTGACTGTAGTAGTGTGACTGTGTACCGTGTGTGTGTGTGACTGTAGTAGTGTGACTGTGTACCGTGTGTGTGTGTGTGTGACTGTAGTAGTGTGACTGCCTACCGTGTGTGTGTGTGACTGTAGTAGTGTGACTGCGTACCGTGTGTGTGTGTGGCTGTAGTAGTGTGACTGCCTACCGTGTGTGTGTGTGACTGTAGTAGTGTGACTGCCTACCGTGTGTGTGTGTGGCTGTAGTAGTGTGACTGCCTACCGTGTGTGTGTGTGACTGTAGTAGTGTGACTGCCTACCGTGTGTGTGTGTGACTGTAGTAGTGTGACTGCCTACCGTGTGTGTGTGTGACTGTAGTAGTGTGACTGCCTACCGTGTGTGTGACTGTAGTAGTGTGACTGCCTACCGTGTGTGTGACTGTAGTAGTGTGACTGCCTACCGTGTGTGTGTGTGACTGTAGTAGTGTGACTGCCTACCGTGTGTGTGACTGTAGTAGTGAGACTGTGTCCCGTGTGTGTGTGTGACTGTAGTAGTGTGACTGTGTACCGTGTGTGTGTGTGACTGTAGTAGTGTGACTGCCTACCGTGTGTGTGTGTGTGACTGTAGTAGTGTGACTGCCTACCGTGTGTGTGTGTGACTGTAGTAGTGTGACTGTGTACCGTGTGTGTGTGTGGCTGTAGTAGTGTGACTGCCTACCGTGTGTGTGTGTGTGACTGTAGTAGTGTGACTGCCTACCGTGTGTGTGTGTGACTGTAGTAGTGTGACTGTCTACCGTGTGTGTGTGTGACTGTAGTGGTGTGACTGTGTACCGTGTGTGTGTGTGTGACTGTAGTAGTGTGACTGTGTACCGTGTGTGTGACTGTAGTAGTGTGACTGTGTACCGTGTGTGTGTGTGACTGTAGTAGTGTGACTGCCTACCGTGTGTGTGTGTGGTTGTAGTAGTGTGACTGCCTACCGTGTGTGTGTGACTGTAGTAGTGTGACTGCCTACCGTGTGTGTGTGTGGTTGTAGTAGTGTGACTGCCTACCGTGTGTGTGTGACTGTAGTAGTGTGACTGCCTACCGTGTGTGTGACTGTAGTAGTGTGACTGTGTACCGTGTGTGTGACTGTAGTAGTGTGACTGCCTACCGTGTGTGTGACTGTAGTAGTGTGACTGTGTACCGTGTGTGTGACTGTAGTAGTGTGACTGCCTACCGTGTGTGTGTGTGACTGTAGTAGTGTGACTGCCTACCGTGTGTGTGTGTGGCTTTAGTAGTGTGACTGCCTACCGTGTGTGTGGCTGTAGTAGTGTGACTGCGTACCGTGTGTGTGTGTGGCTGTAGTAGTGTGACTGTGTACCGTGTGTGTGTGTGACTGTAGTAGTGTGACTGCCTACCGTGTGTGTGTGTGACTGTAGTAGTGTGACTGTGTACCGTGTGTGTGTGTGACTGTAGTAGTGTGACTGTGTACCGTGTGTGTGTGTGACTGTAGTAGTGTGACTGTGTACCGTGTGTGTGTGTGACTGTAGTAGTGTGACTGTGTACCGTGTGTGTGTGTGGCTGTAGTAGTGTGACTGCCTACCGTGTGTGTGTGTGGCTGTAGTAGTGTGACTGTGTACCGTGTGTGTGACTGTAGTAGTGTGACTGTGTACCGTGTGTGTGTGTGACTGTAGTAGTGTGACTGTGTACCGTGTGTGTGTGTGACTGTAGTAGTGTGACTGCCTACCGTGTGTGTGTGTGACTGTAGTAGTGTGACTGTGTACCGTGTGTGTGTGTGACTGTAGTAGTGTGACTGTGTACCGTGTGTGTGTGTGACTGTAGTAGTGTGACTGTGTACCGTGTGTGTGTGACTGTAGTAGTGTGACTGCCTACCGTGTGTGTGTGTGACTGTAGTAGTGTGACTGCCTACCGTGTGTGTGTGTGACTGTAGTAGTGTGACTGTGTACCGTGTGTGTGTGTGTGACTGTAGTAGTGTGACTGTGTACCGTGTGTGACTGTAGTAGTGTGACTGTGTACCGTGTGTGTGTGTGACTGTAATAGTGTGACTGTGTACCGTGTGTGTGACTGTAGTAGTGTGACTGCCTACCGTGTGTGTTTGTGACTGTAGTAGTGTGACTGCCTACCGTGTGTGTGTGTGACTGTAGTAGTGTGACTGCCTACCGTGTTGTGACTGTAGTAGTGTGACTGCCTACCGTGTGTGTGTGTGACTGTAGTAGTGTGACTGCCTACCGTGTGTGTGACTGTAGTAGTGTGACTGCCTACCGTGTGTGTGTGTGACTGTAGTAGTGTGACTGCCTACCGTGTGTGGCCCGTGTTCATGCCCCAGCACTAGAAGCAAAACAGAAACCAAATGAGCCGACTTGTGTCTTTCTCCCTCTTGTATACAACTGAGTGAATGTTCAATTCTGGTTTTTGGTGTAGCACTAAATTTTTCCGTGTGATAATCCCAATTTTCACGTCTGTTATATCTGACCACAAATATATAGGTAGAAATTGCTGCTTAGTACGGTGCACTCAGTTGTGCAAACTTATTTTTTAGGATCAAAGAAGAGCCCAAACCGCAGCCGACACAGTAAGTACCGTGTTCCGAGTGCAGCAGCCTGGACCGCTGCCCCTCCGCTTGCTGCACCTCTGATGGTATTAGCCTCCACTAATACTGGATAGCTGCAGCTGGCGTGTCTTCCGCTTTCTGACTCTTGGGCTTGTTAGACAGCTGCTGCAGCTTCTTACTTCATCCACATAGTGACTGGGTATAGTTTTCTGCTGCCTGCTTGTGGACTAGTTAAGTGTTCAAACTTAATTTCCCTACTTCCTGATTGCCTGGTGATAATCGGAGCTCACATTTCCATTGGCTGTAGCTTTTATGCCTTTCTGTGTGTGTGTTTTGCTTTTTTTAAAAATTATTTTGGGTAGAAAACATTGAATCTACATTGTTATTCTTTTGGTTTTTCAGTCACATTATTTGCTTATTTAAACAGGTGGTTTCCCTTTAGTGGGATCACTGAACTGGTAAATAACGTTCTTCAGCCCCAGCAAAAACAACAAAATGAAAAGGAGCCCCAGACGTAAGTAAGCTGGTCTATATAGACTAGATATTATCTGTGATACATAATACACTGAAGAGTATAAATTTAAGTTCTTCCCTTGGGATGTGTGCCCTCAGAGAGGAAAACTGTTCAGTAGTTCTGCCATTAGCTATTCCATGGAAATCTAAAAAGAAAACAAGGGCAGCTTAGAGGCTAATGGAACAGAATAGGTAATTCCCTCGTTTAATATGAATATGTAAGCCACATTTTCCTAGAAAAAATATATTTCTCTAATAATGTAGAATATTCTAGAGTATCTCTAAACAAAAATACTAGAAGACAGTAAGAGGTATTAGCTCCTAAATTTGTTATTTGGTCAAATAGTTTTGGATAAGTTTTTTTAAATGGTTAAGCAGATTTGTTTATTGTAATAATTCTGAGAACCTAAGTATGATTAGATCATAATATTTTTAACTAAACTTACTTGAACACTAAATCCTGTTTTCACTGAATACGTTATTAGACTATAAAACATAATTTGGGAATACAGTAGTATATTCTAACAATGACTTGAAACATTAAAAACATATAGATTCCATTTCTTTTAGTTGTTAAAAACATTTTAAAGAAGTTGTTTGCAGGTTATACCTATTATTAATTGCATAACAGAAAAGTGGACAAGTCACTTGAGCTTACAGCCTATTGATCCAAATTTATTACGAGATCTTAACTACCTGCAGGGGAGTCTAAAATGTCTAACCATGTATGCAGGAAGAGAGGAAAACTCTAAATAATGAGCAATAGAAATATCTACTATAATTAGTTCACATTTGATTTTCATTTATTTCTGATGGAAATTTTCCAAATGAATAGCTCTTGCAGTAAGAATAACTCTAATATTAGTTCCTATTTCAGTACTTTTCTTCAAAAATTCTGTAATGGCTTGGATTGACCAAATGTTAGGGTAAATATCGTAATGGAGATTCAAACCTAGATGTGTATTCAGAAAGGACATTGCTGTCTCTAGTGACTTCAGGAAACCAGTCCTCTTTCATGTTGGATAGAGGCTGTTTGCCTTATCTTTTTCATTTGTTTTATTCAAGAGCCGTTGACTGTGTTTTTTCTAAAGATTATATGCTTGGGGGATTTCAAAGATTCTCCTGTTTCACGTCTTCTGACAGTGATTTTCGGTAGTGCAGGAAAAATGGATTGTCTTTCTAGCTATCAAATATGAATCCAAGGATCAATATTAAGCTTTTATCAAAGGGCTAATTGTTAAACAACCCCTCCCTCTCCTATCTCTCCTTTCTCCTCCCCCCTCTCTTCCTCTCTTCCTCTCTCCTCCCCCCTCCTCTTCTTCTCTCCCCCACCTCTACTCTCCCTCCCTGCCCCCTCATTTTCTCTCCCTTCTTCTTCTCTTTTTTCCCTCTCTTCTCTTTAACCTCCTCCTTTCATTTCTCTTCCGGAAGACTAGATCTTTTGATTCCAGGTCCGAGAGTTCCTTACCACTTACATCTATTGTAGATTAGACAGTAGTGGTTTTGCTTGTTTACGTAATATGTAACATAGCAGAATCTAGGATCAGAGATGAACACTTAAAATAAATGAGCAACCTGTTACTAATTCAGAAGAGATATGGTCCTTCAAAGTGTTGATCATATTGTTTTGAAGGCTAATGCCAGAGTAAATGGAACACTTTGAAAATAGTGTAATTTTTGTCTGAGTGTGGTGGCGCACATCTTTTAAGTAGTCAAAGGGCAGAGGCAGACAGGTCTCTGGGAGTTAGAGGCTAGCCTGGTCTACATGGCAAGTTCCAGGAAGCCAGAGCTGCATAATAGAGGCCCTATCTCAAGAAAATAATGTTAATTTTACATTTCCTTTACTATTTCTATTTTTCTCTGAAGATTGATGCTACTGTTGGTAAAAGATCTTTCTTTATAGACTCACTTGCTGGTGCTTGACTGGTCACGGTCAAAGCAGTTGATAATGTAGTTGTGAGCTGGTCCAAGCACGTGCTGCACAGGTGCAACATGGTTTTCCTTCTGAATAATCTGAAATTGACTGCACTTATTGTGTACTTTCGAACCATCTGCAATTCTTTGTGGCTCCACACAGGAATAAATAAAACAGTAGGAACGGAAACTAATATGTTGTATTTGTCTCATGGTGCGTACCTGTAATTTCAGCACTGCAGTGTATGACGTAGCACAGATCATAGCAAGATCTCTCAAAAGAAAGTATGAAAGTGCTACTTGCTGTATTTATGCAAAGAATGCATTTAGTGAGAGATGCAAAAATTGAAGATATGCAGCGCATTGACTTGTTCTGTAGTGACTGTATCTGGAATGAGCATCGAGGCCGAAGGGCTGACTGTTCCCAGCCCTCATGATCCTTTCCAGGAACAGTGCCTCCATCCTTGAGGTGAGGGTAGCATGTGTCCTGACCGCCACAATCCACTGTGTTCTACCGTGCATCATTGTTTCTGTCTGTTCTTGTATAGGCTATACGTTTTCCACAAGGTATTTGTGAGATATATCAGTATGATTTGAAGTAGCTGTACTGTAGCTAGAGTTTTCCTGCCTGGCCCACAGTCAGGACAAATCTCTGACACCCGCCAGTCCCACAGCCATTCAGACCCAACCAAATAAACACAGAGACTTATATTGGTTACAAACTGTATGGCCGTGGCAGGCTTCTTGCTAACTGTTCTTACAGCCTAAATTAATCCATTTCTACTAATCTATACCTTGACACGAGGCTTGTGGCTTACTGGTACTTTACATCTTCCTTGTCCTGATGGCGGCTGGCAGTGTCTCCCCCACCCAGCTTCCTGTTCTCTCAATTCTCCTCTCTGTTAGTCCCGCCTATACTTCCTGCCTGGCCACTGACCAATCAGTGATTTATTCATTGACCAATCAGCAACACATTTGACATACAGACCATCCCACAGCACTTCTCCTTTTCTTTTCTTAAAAAGGAAGGTTTTAACCTTTACACATCTCCAAAGTCAGCTTGGTATATTTGGGAATTTGGGCATAGCTTCTCTTACTACTTCCTGCTGGAGGGGGGCGCTGTATCTTCTGGGGAAACAAAGAAAATTTTAGGATCATGGAGTAGTCCGTGAGGCTGTATCGTCTGAGCCAGTTGCCTTGAAACCATTCCGGATGTTGGGTCATTTGGGCCATGGTGTCATCGGAGACCTTTCAGGGGATCTTGGCTGGTCAAACCTGATGTATCTTAATCTGGAACAAATCCATAGCCTCTGGCTTTCTGTGGAAACAAAAGCAGAGCCTCCTTTCCAAAGCAACATATCCTTATATCCAAATTTTGAAGTCAAGATATCTTTAAAATATGCATATTGGTTTAACTCAGTTTCCTTTACAATCAAATATCTCTCTGCAGTTAAGAATCCCAAAGATGCCGGGCGGTGGTGGCGCACGCCTTTAATCGGGAGGCAGAGCCAGGCGGATCTCTGTGAGTTCGAGGCCAGCCTGGGCTACCAAGTGAGTCCCAGGAAAGGCGCAAAGCTACACAGAGAAACCCTGTCTCGAAAAAACCAAAAAAAAAAAAAAAAAAAAAAGAATCCCAAAGACAACACAATCCAGATTCTCTGTGTAATATTCATCTTTACGTGGCTTATTTTTTATATTAATTTTACTGTCTCTTTAAAGACTTTATTTTTTAAAACTATGTATTTGTTTATATAACTGTATATATCACCTTTTTTGTCTCTTTTAAGCCTATGTATATTTTATACATATTGTAAACTATTACATCTGAATCTGTCTTATTGTGAATCTCTTGCTTTAAACTGCAGCAGCTGTGGCTGCTGGCTCCACCCACCTCAGCTTCCCAACATGGCGGTATTTTACCGCCAGCTCTGGGAGCTATCGTGGGTCTATGCTTTTATCCAAGCAGTGTGTAGCCCAGAAACCTTTTTTTTTTGTTTTGTTTTGTTTTGTGCTAGCAAAGTCTAAATCCACCATGCAGCTTAACGTGCCACTTGCAGAGGCCTCATTCCTGCCATACTGCAGGTTGAGCATGCACGCTAGGAACCCGCCAGTAGCTCAAACCGGCAGCTGCCGCTCATTTGAGAGAGACAATTAGGAAGCTGTTTTTAGCTCTGTTTTAGAATCTTTTTTCTCAGTTTTTAGGTGGAAACTCTTGCCAACACGTTGGGCGCCATTTGTAGCTAGAGTTTTCCTGCCTGGCCCACAGTCAGGACAAATCTCTGACACCCGCCAGTCCCACAGCCATTCAGACCCAACCAAATAAACACAGAGACTTATATTGGTTACAAACTGTATGGCCGTGGCAGGCTTCTTGCTAACTGTTCTTACAGCTTAAATTAATCCATTTCTACTAATCTATACCTTGACACGTGGCTTGTGGCTTACTGGTACTTTACATGCTGTTTCTCATCATGGCGGCTGGCAGTGTCTCCCCCACCCAGCTTCCTGTTCTCTCAATTCTCCTCTCTGTTAGTCCCGCCTATACTTCCTGCCTGGCCACTGACCAATCAGTGATTTATTCATTGACCAATCAGCAACACATTTGACATACAGACCATTCCACAGCACTGTACATCATTTATTTGCTTTGCTGTGTAGTACTTTGATATCTTAGTAGGTTTCACTTTATTTCCCTATTTAGTCTAAACTATTTTGTCTTAATTTCTAGGGGTTTTTTTTGGCTATTAGTAGTGCTGCTTTATACATCCTGATGACATTATTTTTTCCAGTTACCCTGGAGGATAATTTTATAGTTATTTGTAAAAGTAAATACTTTAGCTAATTAAAGATACTTTAGGGTGTTTATCTCCATTTTGTCACTGGTTTATCTGATAATGCTCCATGTGCCATTCACTGAGCATGCCTGAACACTTGATTATTTAGGACTCAGCATCTGGCCTAGGAGAGAGAAGGAAAGGCTGCAAAGAAGCTTGCAGAGGAGTGATAGGATTTATGCCGTATCACGTCCCTGCACTGTGTGAAGTAACTCAAGCTTCATAGTCTGTCTCTGCTCTAGAGACAGTGGGA